AGCTAAATAGATGCACTCTGAGACCATGTTCTTAAGTGAGATAAATTGGTCAAACACATTTAAATACTGCAGTTATTCTTGTGTGAGAAACCAAAAGTGGAAATAAGAACCAAATGTATGATAGATACTGGGAAATGGGAAGAAAATGTTCAAATGAAAATGGGAACAAAGAAGTGGGGAGAGGGAAAGGAAAGAAGGGACAAAAAGGAGAACAGATGGGAAAAAATGGAAGCAAGCTTTTGTAAATAAGGAGGGGAAGAGGGTTGAAGGGAGAAAGGCAGAGGAATGGGGAAAAAAAGAGAAGAAACAAGCTATATCATGTACAGGTAGAAATTCCCTATGATGAATGTTATCATTATGCATATCTAAATGTATCAATAAATATTTTGCTTCCAAAAAAAATATAGGCATATAATAAGGATCAAAGCCCATCTGCATTAACTAAAAAATATGGGAGACCTTACTTTAGGGCTATCTTATATAAAAACCACAGGATTTAGGGGCTGGAGATTTAGTTCAATGGTGTCATGCCTACCTTGCGAGCACAAGGTCTTAAGTTTGATCCTTGGTACCAGAGGGAAAAAAAAGGATTTAAATTCAAATAGCAGTCCGATTTAACGAATATCAAATTTAGCAAACATTAAAATAAGGTGTGCCAGCATTACGAAGGAATATTGTGCCCAGCACAAGTATGGCAAGGTTTCTGTAATGCTCTCAGCAAGGCAGACACCACCCAGCAAAACAGTCATTTTGGAAGTTGTACTTCAAAGGGTTTTTGGCAAACAGGACTTTTTTTTTTGTACTGCAGATCCAACTCAGGACCTTGTGGTGTTCAGAAGGCAGGTGCAGTGCCACTAAGCTAAATGCCTGGCCCTCTCCCAGTTCTTGACCTTGTGGTCCAGTAGGGGGAGACAATCTATTTAATAAATTATGCACAGTTGGTTTTTGAAGCAGAGTATAATTTAGCCTAGATAGTTGGAAGCCAGTGAATGTGTTTCTTTGGAAAATATTGCCTAAAGGGAGTGTTAAAAAAAACACCTAAAAATAGTAGGAGTTAGCCATGAAAGGCTGCGAAGGGAACCTTGCCCACCAAGAACCACTGAAAGGATTAGAAAGAAGCTATAGTTTTGAATACCTGAATACTTGAATATGTAATGAGAAGCATTAAACATGTTTATGGCACCTAAGACAAATGGATATTTCAATTCTGTATATGAAAATTAATTTATTTAGTGATGTACCACATTAAAGCATCCCAACATAATACAAATTCAAATAGAATGTGAATAGTGACTAGCTCATCTCATAATAGGCTCAGATCATTTCATTAACTACAACATATTACCTTTTTACAGAATTATTTTGGATCCTACCCATACACTAAACCTTGCTTTTATCACTTAGAGCTGTCCAAATGAGAAGTTGCATACTAGAATGGGAAATTTTATGAGAATACTGTTTTGTTTGGAGGCAGGATTTCTCTGTGTAACCCAAGAAGGCCTGGAACTTGCTTTGCAGCTCAGGCTGGAGTAAACCTCAGGGTCCTTCTGCCTCAGTGTTGGGCTTACTGACCTGTACCACCATGACCAACTCACAGTACTGTTTTTTTTAGACAAGGTCTCACTATGTAATTCAGACTAGTCTTAAACTATGTTTATATCTGTTATGGTTTACAGTAAGTCCCTGACTTATGAACAAGTTCTGTTCTAGGAGAACATTTGTAAATCAGATTCATTTTTAATCTCACAAAGTGAGTCTTATACACCTGAGTTTGCAACTGAAATGTATGTTAAATTTGGGATTTACTGTATATCTAAAGTATCTCCCAAAGCCTCATACACTCCCAGGGCTCTTGAGAGTGACTGGATCATGGACATAATGTCTGGATTAATCCACTGACTGGATCTGCAGAGTTCTGGGTGTGGCTAAATAGATTTGTTTTGTGTATGTGTGGTACTGGGGATCGAACTCAGGCCCTTGTGCTTGCAAGGCAGGTAGTGGAACCACTGAGCCAAATCCCCAGCTCATAAATAGATTTACTTAAATCAGAAGACTAACCATGGGTGTGAGTGACACCAACGAATAGGCTTGTAGCTTGAATGGAATAAAAGGGAAAGGAAGGCTCACTGCTCAGTTTTATGCTTGCCACATCAGGAACTGATTGTCCTCTGTGATGCCTCTCTGCCATGCTACCCTGCCTTGGAATCAGCTATGGACTGAAACCTCTAGAAACTGAGCTAAAGTAAACATTTCCTCTTTTAACTTATAGATGTTGGGTATTTTGTCCCAGCTACAAGAAAAATTATTAAGACATCTAATGCTAGAATATTGCAAAATGAGATAGGTGGCTTTGCTGAGTAAGAATATATATACATATATATATAATTTTTTTTTTTGTACCAGGGATGGAACTCAGGCCCTTGTGCTTGCAAGGCAGGGGGCAGAACCACTGAGCTAAATCCCTGGACCTGAGTAAGAATATTTAATAGATGGCATTATTCCTTTTACATTTTATCAAGAAGCACATCTACACGTCTACCTTTCAAGGCGTTGGCTGCTTGATCCATTCATATACAGTTGGTCACCAACAAAAAAAAAGGAAAAATAGGTAAAACCTGTGGGTTAAAAGCAAATTAAGCAAAATGTAATCCAATGGAATTTGTCTGCTAATTTGAACAAACTAACTCTACAAAATGTTTATGGGACAGCCTGGGAAATTTAAGCACTACTGAATCAAATACTTGATGATAACAATAATGTAGTATAGGAAAGATTACAGTATTGAGAATAATAATGTAGTGTAGGAATGATAATGGTATTGTCCTTATGTCTAAAAAGGGGGAGGGTCCTCATCCTTCAGACATATATGGTGAAAATTACAAATAAAATATGCTCTCCAGAATTTGCTATAAAATTATGCAGAGCAGGAATGCAGTAGAGGGAAATGAATGGCAACAGAGATGAAACTGGCTGTTAGCTGATGAAAATCAAGCGTTGGCTGTGATCCATTCATATACAGTTGGTCACCAACAAAAAAAAAGGAAAAATAGGTAAAACCTGTGGGTTAAAAGCAAATTAAGCAAAATGTAATCCAATGGAATTTGTCTGCTAATTTGAACAAACTAACTCTACAAAATGTTTATGGGACAGCCTGGGAAATTTAAGCACTACTGAATCAAATACTTGATGATAACAATAATGTAGTATAGGAAAGATTACAGTATTGAGAATAATAATGTAGTGTAGGAATGATAATGGTATTGTCCTTATGTCTAAAAAGGGGGAGGGTCCTCATCCTTCAGACATATATGGTGAAAATTACAAATAAAATATGCTCTCCAGAATTTGCTATAAAATTATGCAGAGCAGGAATGCAGTAGAGGGAAATGAATGGCAACAGAGATGAAACTGGCTGTTAGCTGATGAAAATCAGTGATAAGTACATGGGTATTTTATTGTAAGTTTGAAGTTATCCATTAAAAAAAATAATAGGCCACAGATTTACCTCAGTTTGCTGCACTTGCCTTTCAAGTGCAACATCTGAGTTTGATCCCTGGGACCAAAAAAAAAAAAAAAAAAAAAAAAAAATTCAGGGGGCTACAGAGTTCAGTAGTAGAGTGTGTGGCTCCCGGTGCTGTTTAAAACTTAGCAATTAAACAACAAAAAGTATTTTTGCATGTGCAAAATACAAAACTATAAAATAGAGGAAATTATTGGTTAACATTTATGTAAATCTAGGATGGGGCAGCATGATGTTATGGGCAGAAACTGTAAAAGAAATCAACTGATCTGACCATAAAAAAATGCCCACTTCTATGAAAAGCCTAATACATAAAGTCATAAGCTAAACTGAGAAATACATGTATCCCATGACCAAAGACAAAAAATTCTTCATATATGTGTATATATATATATACATATATATATATATGTATATATATATATATATTTTTTTTTAAAGTACCGGGGATTGAACTCCGGTCCTTGTGTTTGCAAGTCAGGCAGCAGAACCACTGAGCTAAATCCCCAGATAGTTACTATATTTTTGAGGCTAACATGTATATAAAAAGCACAATAGTTAGTCTTGGCTTGACAGATTTTTCTGTTTTGGTCTATAGGCCTCTGCTGCAAACATGCTCTGCCAGATCATCAGTCAGGCCACCAAACATCCTAACTTGATCCCCCTTATCATGTTTATTAGAAGAGGTACTGGAACAGCACTGAATTTAACACATTTGACATCGTTCAATCCAGATGTCAATTAGGACAGGAAGAATAACCCAGAACCCTGGAACAAACTGGGTCCCAATGAGCAATACAAGTTCTACTCAGTGAATGTAGATTATAGCAAACTAAAGAAAGAAGGTCCAGACTTCTAAGTGAAATGTTTCACTATAAAGGTGCTTCGACTGAAGGTTGTTCAGGCTGAGGATTTAGCTCAGTGGTACAGCACCTGCCTGGCTAAACGCAAGGTTCCGAGTTCGATCCCCAGTAACAACAACAACAACAAAAAGCTTTCAGAAACCATTTGTACAGTTTTCCATTTAACCAAGAAATACTCTTCCTCTAAATGCATGAAATCAATGATGATTTATTGGAGTTTAATATACAGATTAATCTCTGAAACTTCAAGAAAAAAGCAGAATATATAACTCTTCTCCCTAACCGCCTGAAAAAAAACTCCAAGCCAGACGTGGTAGCACGACCCTAGTATCCCAGGACTTTGGGAGGCTGAGGCAGGGAGATCTCAAGTTCAACCCCAGACTAGGAAACTTAAAGAGGTTTAGTAAGACACTGTCTAAAAATAAAAACAACAACAAAAAAAGAGTCCGGCATATAGCCCAAATGCAAAGGCCCGGATCTGAGTTCAAACTCCACTACTGAGGAAAGAAAACACAATGAAACAAACTCCATGCTGGGAATGTAGCTCAGTGGTAGTGCTTGCCAGCAAACTTAAAGCCTTGGGTTCAATCTCCAGAACTGCCAAAAGAAAAAAAAAAAAAAAAAAAAAAAAAAAAAAAAAGGCTCAAAAATACTTGCAAGAAAAAGAATAAACATTAACATTGGCAAAACCAGTGGGGCAGGAATGCTCTACACACTACTGACAAAAAATTATAGGAACCCACTGGGTTGAGTGTTAAATACTGTAACATCAAAAAGTTGGTTCTGCAAGCTGTCAATAATAGTCATTTGGAAAGCAATGTATTTATCAGCACAAGGATCCCGTGCTGTTCTTCCACATGTTCAAACACCTTTTGTCATTAGTCATCTATCAGATTCTCCAACTGTTGTGGGAGTTTTCAAGAAACAAAAGCCAAAACTGGGCACTATCATTAAGCGATTTACCAATGATTCTCTTGTAAGCATCACATTTTCCAATAATAAAGCTTTGCACAGAAGTTGGAATTCTAAAGGCTGTTTTACTTGAAATCTTATATTTACAGTCTTTTCATGAAAATAGTTGTCTGGTAACATAAATTGCTTCTGCATCAGTTCCACAAACAAGACAAGGACCTAAAACATCCAAACTGTTCACAGACAGAGTCCTGGTAGGAAGCAAGCTCGTGATTTCAATTCGGTCTTTTGCAGGATCAGTGCTGAGCCAGGAACTTATCACAGATTGGTGAACATTAGCCTGATTACTCATGCTGTGAGACAGAAATGTACTGGTTCGTCCTCCTGGGAGAAAGAAAAGGTAAGAACTTGTCAAGACTAATTTTATGTTAGTAAACATTAAAAGTTCTGATATTTCAGAAAAGCGGTCATTTCATAGCCCAAAGATAATTTTATGCAGCATTTTTAGCACACCCAAGTTTTGATTCTGATCCAACACATGAGGTCTAGTGTGGAATCCACATATTCAGAATCTGGAGCAGTTTGGATTTCAGATTTTCAGATTAGAGATGCTCAACCTGTATTACTAGAACTACTGCAATAAGAGTCCCTCCCAGTCATCCTGTTTTTACTTTTCTCATTCTTCTGTCTATACGCCATAACTGCCAATGATTTCTTGGAAGTAGGAGTTCTGCCACTCCCTCACTCAAAATTCTCTGATACCATCTTATAACACTTAGAATAAAATCTTGTCTTTATCTTGGCCTCTAAATCCTATGAGATCTGATCTTCAGCCAGCAGTACTTCTGTCGTATCACTCCCTTACCCTGTTAGGTGAACTGGAGCAACAATGGACTTGCTATTCGCTGCCTGTCTTGGGCTCTCTGCCTAGCACGTGTTCATGTGACTCAGTACTTCATCTCCTTAAGGTCTCTGCTCAATGCTATTTTTGAGCTGGGTGTCGTGGTGCATGCCTGTAATCCCAGCATGCAGGAGGCTGAGGCAGGAAGGTCACTGTGTTTGAGGCCAGCCTGGCTACATAATGAGTTCATGACCAGCCTAAATTACATGGTGAGACCCTGTCTCTAAGAAACAAAATAGCCAGATGTGGTGGCACACACCTATAAATTCAGCACTCAGGAGGAGGCTGAGGTAGGAGGATCACAGCAAGTTTGAGGCCTGCCTGAGATATACAGTGAGTTCAAGGCCAGCCGGAGCTACATATTGAAACTCTGTCTCAAAAAACAATGAAATATAATTTCTGCAAAGAGGCCTTTCCTAATATTTCCCTCTAGATAGCTTCCCTCACTCTACTTTTATTGTTCATCTTTCTACTCTGCTTTACTTTGCTTCACAGTAATTATTGGCGTATTTGGCCCAGTTATTTTGCTTTCAGCTCCCTTTTCCAGGCTTTTCTATGTTCCATCACGGGGGTGGAAGTCTGCAAACTCCATTTTCCAGGCTCTGCTGCCATCTGCCATCTACGTGGGCCCTGCCAATGGGAGGCACTAGTGGTGACTGGAAGGCAGAGGAGAAGCAGCTCTCTCTTTTTTTTCAGAGATTGGGTTTTGCTTTGCTGGCCTTGAACTCACTATGTAGCCCAGGCTGGCCTCGAACTTGAAGCAATCCTCCTGTCTCAGCCTCTAGAGTTTGGGGACTATAGGTATGCACCATCATGCCTAGCAGTGGCTTTCCTCCTGATCCAGGTTTCTGGCAATGACACAGTGGCAGGAGCTCAAGACTGGTTGACACGGAACCTCTTCTGACAATCCAAAAGCAGCTGTAACAGTATTTCCAATAACATAGTGGCAAAAGCATTAATGATTTTGGGACTGAGGTTTTAGTTCAGTGGAACCCTGCACCTGCCTCCCAAGTGCAAAGTCTTATTTCAATCCCCAGTACCAAGAAAGAAAAAGAAAAAAAAAAAGTATTAATGATTCTGATTTTTAGGTTCTTACTTTTTCTTTCAATTTGCTTTCTACATACCCCTCCTCTTCCCTTTTGCTTTTTCAGCCTTTCCTAACACACGTGAAACCAGTTCCTTTTAAATTCAGGATAGTCACCTAGTTTACTATTGATAAATTATCTCTTTTTTTTTTTGATGCTGGGGACTGGACCAAGGGACTTGCACATGCTATGTATGTGCTCTACTACTGAGCCACACTCTAGTTCATTATCCATTTGTGTCCTACATGTGTAGCAACATTTTGTTTTGCTCACTGTTGCAGGCTCCAACATTTGAGTACCTATCACAAGGTAGGCCTTCAATAAACATTTCTGAATGAATGACCAAAGCAAATTTGGAACTGCACATAAATCCTCAATAAGAAGCTTAATGGCTGGACATTTAGCTCAGTGTCACCACATCTGCTTCACAAGTGCAAGGTCCTGAGTTCAAAAAGTTAAGTGTTAAAATAAATGCAAAATTTATAAATATAATAAAACAAAAACATTTATGAAAACAAAAAAATAAGTAGCTTGGAAAATGCAAAATAAACTCTTTATTGGAGACTGGTCTCACTACGTAGTTCAGGCTATCTCTGCACTCAGCATATAGCCCAGGTTGGTCTCAAACTCACGGAGATCCTCTTGCCTCTGCCTTCTGAATGCTGGGATTACAGGTGTGCTCTACCACACGTGGCTCCCATAAACTCCTTTTTTACAAATGTATGGTTTTTGGTTCAGTTTTGCTCACCACTGATTTTAATCAGGAGGCAGAGACTTTTAAACTGAAAAGAAACAAGTTCCTTAATATATAAAAGGTCTACTTTATTCTCAATACAAACCCTTCTTTGCCAACGGCTTTCCCATGGCATGAGGGTCCAGGACAAGGGTAATCACAAAGGAAAACCTTGACTGACTGAAGTGAGTCACTATACAGCATCTCTAGTCAACAGCCTCAGTAAGCAGCTGACAGTAAACAGTCAGACTTGAAGCTCTACGATACTTAAATTTACACTGGAGTATGAGAATAAAAACATTTTGCTACAGTTCAAAAGGATGCTACAGTTAAAAAGATGAGAATGTCTAGTTTGTCATTTAATTTTATTTTTTATTGTTTTGGTACTGGGGACTGAACTTGGGACCTGGGATCGAACTCAGGACCTTGCATTGGAGTATGAGAATAAAAACATTTTGCTACAGTTCAATGTTAAAAAGATGAGAATGTCTAATTTGTCATTTAATTTAATTTAATTTTTTTTGGTACTGGGGATCAAACTTGGGACCTCGAACTTGTGAGGCAGGTGGCAGAACCACTGAGCTAAATCCTGGCTCTAATTTGTCATTTAAAAGCATCACACAATGATGCAGAAGAATGTTCATTAGATAGTATACCTTGGTGAAAGAGTGAGGATTTTTCCGGCATGTCTATGGAGGCATCCCAGTGCCAGAGGGATCCATCTTCAGAACAAGTGAACAGATGATCTGGTTTGGATGGGTGAAAGTGAACTTCCCACACTGAGAGATAAAAAAGAGAAGCTTATTCCTATACAGGTCATCTGAGCAAAGAACGTTAAATTCTGTCTTTAAGAACCATCTTCCAAAAGCCCCAAACATACCTATAACCATACCTCAAGTCTATGAAAAAATCAAAGTCTTTGGAATTAAAGAAAAGCCAGAATATACTCTTCATGGCTATAAGTCACAGGCAGAAAAAAGAAGCCAAGTAAATATGCTTGTAGACTGGGCCTGAAAAAATAACAGAAAACTGAAAAAGCATTTTAACTACTACATCTTCCTTTCCTCCTTCGTACTCTCTTTCCTTTCCTTCTCTCTCCTCTTCTTTCCTCCTCTCCCCTCCCCTCCCCTTTCCTTTCATACTGGGGATTGAACCCAGGGCATGCTAACTATATCCCAGTCAACTCTTGCCTCAGCCTCCTAAGTAATCTGGATGACAGGCATGTGCCATCATGCTTGGCTTGACCTATGACATTTTTATGGAAAAGAAAGATCATGGATAATTATGAAAAGACTTTTTCTTAAAAATTGGTAAGTTGTCTTATTTTCAGGTACTATGTCTTTAATAGATGGAGGCTATATTATTGGAAAGACTGAGAAGAGACCATAAAGGAAACATACAAATGAATTTCTAAGAGGCAGAATCCAACACTTGCTTATGCCAAGGTGCTAGATACTTCTGGCCTTTATCACAGAAATAGCAACCAGCTCCCAGCAAGTCAAAATTTGTAAATGTTTCAAGAATTTGGATCCAGTCTGGCAAATCAAAATTTGTAAATGTTCCAAGAATTTGGATCCAGTTTCAAATGAAGGGTTTCTAAGAAGTCATGTTTGGGACTGCCACCTCAGCTCTAAGGGAACTTTGTCCTTAGATGTCTGGGAGTCACTGATTGGCAAGCACTCCCTAGGAAGTTAACTGTAGCATTAGATAAAATAGTCAGTGGACAGGGTTCTATGAGTTTGGCCAGGTCATTTTGAAGAATCAGTACAGAGTATCTGATGCCTGGCACACAGAGTTACTGGCACATGTCTTCATTCTAACAGTTATAATTAAATATCATGCCATAAAGCATTAAAAAATGTCACTTCCCTCAGGAGAATGCATTCTGGGGAAATTCCAGGAAAGTACATTTACATTCTTCTTTAAAACAAAGTGAAACAAAACACTTTGAAGAGCCATGAACAGACTGCCCAAATCTACATTTTTATGCATTTATTTCCTAATTAGAAAACAAATCGCTATATTAAACATTTCATTTCTAGCTAGGAATTAGGATAAATTAAAAATAATACTTGACAAGCCACTTATTTGTGTGCACTGCTTCAGTTAATAGGGTGTGGTAATAGGATAACTGAGTTTATAAGTCTACCACCAGGTTGGTCAACATTAGAATCTACAAGGGCATACTTTATTTCGCTTTTATCCTCTCTCGTTCTTGGACACAGCTATACTTGGGAAAGGCACACTATTTTCTATCCTTTTATTTCTTGAGTACATTTTTTTTTTTTTTTTTTTGCGACAGGGTCTCATTAGGCAGTTCAGGCTGTCTCAACTCAACTCACTATGTAGCCTAAGCTGGCTTTGAACTTGCAGTGATCCTCCTGCCTTAGCCTCCTGGGATTTTGAATATAATATTAAAGTTATTTATCCTTCTAAAAAAATAGTGTGAAATTTATTTTTCTCTTCTTTTTGGTACCAGGGATTGAACTTGGGACATTGCGCTTGTGAGGACAGCAGCAGAAATCACTGAGCTAAATCCCTGGTCCACTGGGAAATTTATTTAAACAAAAGTTGTAGTATTGGTTCAATGCTTATTTTCTTGTTTTTTTATTCAAGCAGTTTAATATAAACTTTTCAGAAATCAGAGTTTAAAAGTATAATCCAGGGATAAGGGATGTAGCTCAGTGATAGTAATGTGTTTGGCATATACAAGGTCCCTGGTTAAATCCCTAGAACATATACCCCTCCCCTATTTATAAAAATATATTCAATTTTGGGATGACAATAGTCTGTATAGCTATTGCTTCTCTTTTAATTACTTGAATGCATTCATATGAGAAAGGGAATTCTCACACACTTATGTATAGCAACATAAACTGGTATTTTTATGTAGGACAATCTGATACCATGTATTACAGCTTTAAAATTATGCAAAAGTAGCACTGGTCCAAAAGAGACATATGGAACAGAAAAGGGTACAGAAATAACTCCAGTCACATTCAGCCATCTGATCTTTGACAAAGGAGCCAAAAACATACACTGAGGAACGACAGACTCTAGCAAACGCTGCTGAGAAAAATGGCTATACACAGGCAGAACATTAATTCTGACCCTCATCTCTCATTATATACTAAACTAAAATAAAAATGGATTAGTGATCTAAATATTAAAACAGAAACAAACACTTAACTTGCTGGAAGATAAAATGGGTAAAACTTTTGAAGACAAAGGCATAGGCAAGGACGTTTTGAATAGAACTCCTGCACTGCACAAGAATGCACATAAATGGTCAACAAATGGAATCATATCCAATTAAAAAGCTTCTGTAAATCAAAGGAATCAACCAAGCGAAGACACAGTCTACAGAATGAGAAAAAAATTCTGCCAGTTATACCTTGTCAAAGGACTTATATTAGAATATGTAAAGAACTCAAAAAAACCCAGACTCCTTCAAAATGAGACAACCAATCAAAAATGAGCTATTGAAATGAATAGACACTTCTCAGAAGTGCAAATGACCAATAAATACATGACAAAATATTCAATATCTCTAGCCATTAGAGAAATGCAAAGTAAAACAATACTGAGATTCCATCTTACTCCAGAAACATGAGTATCATCAAGAAATCCATTGTCGGGATTTAGCTCAGTGGTTCTGCCACCTGCCTTGTAAATGCAAGGTCCCGAGTTGGATCTCCGATACCAAAACAACAAACAAACAAATAAACAAAAGAAATCTAATTACAACAAATGCTGGTGAGGCTGTGTGAGAAAAAGGAACCCTTCTACATTACTGGTGAGAATGTAAACTAGTACAACCATTATGGTTTTATTAGTGTAGAGATCCTAAAACACTAAAAATAGAAATTCTCCTCGACTCAACTATTCCCATATGAGCTATCTTCCTCAAAGAGTAAAAATGTCATATTACAGCAAGACATGCACACCCGTGTTTACAGAAGCACATTTCAATAATACCCAAATCTTGGAAATCTAAATCAATAGATGACTAGAAAGAAGAAAATGAGGTATTTATAGACAATGGAGTACTACTCTGCTATAAAGAAGGATAAATTTGAGTCATTAGTAAGAAAATGCATGCATCTTAAGATGATAATATTAAAACCAGACACACAAGCTTAAATACTGCATGATCTCCTATATTAAATACCCAAAGGATAAAGAGCAAAATAAAAGATAGATAATAGGAAACAGGGAGAAAGATACATTACAAATACAAGAGATGGCAGGGAGAAAGAGGCAAATAAAAATAATTGTAATGTGTCATGTATGTGTACCAATTTCCCACAATGAATACAATCATTATATATGGCAAATAGTTACTAACAAAAATTTTTTTAAATCATGCAAAAATTTGGCCCATCCATTCTCCTTCCAAAAACTTACCCCAGGAAACTAAGTGCATAAAGATAAAAATGTACTGATATTTATGGCAGTTCTGAGTATAATAATGAAATATATTGAATCTAAATGTCAAATAAAAAGGGATTTATGTAATTCAGACACTAAGTTATGATATAAAATGATCCATATGTATCCTTATGCAAAAGGGCTTAAGTCAGATGTTTTATCCAATACAAATCTTCTACATCTCTACAATACTTACTTTCAGCTTCATGAGCCTTTAGCAGAGATACAGGCATAGTGCCTTGTCGAACATCCCAAATACTCAACATTCCATCCTGGCCACCTGTAGCTACAACATGCTGCTGGTTGGGATGTCTGTCAACACAGTGGAGTGGTACTCGGTCACCATTCCTTTTGTGGGAGATAGAAGATATATCAAATATATTGCAAAGTATAATTTATCCTTGCCAACCCAAGAAACATGTTTTATTCTAGCAGCTAAACGATAATTATGTAGCTGGAGCTACTAAATCTTAATGATGGCAACAAATTAACTAGATTAAAATATAAACTAAAAATGGTTTGGAATTAAAGGCCAAAATTTTTCATTTGTACTTCAATTTGGAAAAATTAGAAGATAACCTGATTAAGATGTACAAAACACATTTCATAGGCTTTCAAAAAATATGTTAACTATACCAAAATTCTTTATTCTTACCATTTTTTTTTGTACTGGGGACTGAACTCAGGACCTTGCACTTGTGAGGCAGGCGGCGGAACCACTGAGCTAAATCCCCGGCCCCTATTCCTACCACATTTAATGCTTAGGCTATATAGCTTTTTTTTTCTTTCCCAAGAATGACACATTGTTTTTCTGTTTTTTAAAAAAAGGGAAGCAAAGGTAGCAAACAGAAAGGGGGATTTTTATTCAGAAGAAATATTTTGGTTTGTATTTTTTTGTTTTTACAGTACCGGGGATTGAACTCAGGACCTTGTGCTTGAGAAGGAGGTACAGTGTCAATAAGCTAAATTCCCGGCTCTACATTTATTTGATGAACAGACACAAGTCTTCCCTTAATGATAAACTTCTGGGCTGGGGATTTAGCTCAGCGGTTCGGTGGCCTGCCTTGCAAGCTCAAGGACCTGAGTTCAATCCCTGGTACCAAAAAAAAAAAAAAAAAAAAAAAACAAAAAACCAAAAACAAAACTTCAAAGACAAAGCCTCTGAATCAACACAACAAATTATTACTAAGTGAACTGTGGAAATTTCAAGCCCATCATACTAACCTTGCTGTATCAAATTTAATCAAGTATCACTTTTTTTTTTGGTACCGGGGATCAAACTCAGGTCCCTGTGTCAAGCATCATTCTTAAGATGTGATTAAAATACAATAAGGTTTTAAAGTCAGTTACTATACATAATTGAAAAAATTAATTTTGCATTACATTACTAAAGTTATAAATCAACACTTACAGTGACAATATCTGTGCAGGCTCATTTCCTTGTAGTCTGAAATCCCATATTTTTAATTGTCCAATTGAATTTACTGTAACAATCTCAGGAGTTCGAAGGAAGGTTACAGCATGAAGTGTACTACTATCTGCATTGTCTGCAAGTTTAAAATGTGGCAGTGTGTGTTAATAGCTGCCCTTTTTCCAAGAAAATCTTAAGACACATTCTACCTATTCACTGAAAAAAATTTTTTTTCAGTGCTGTGCGTTGAATTTTGCATGTTAGGCAAGGGCTCTACTATTATACTCTCCACCCAAATGACTGAAATGCAAAGTTTCTCATGAGACACAATTTAATCTCTATGGAAAGATACGCAGCAACATACATGTTTAGATATTTTCCTCAGCTCACAGTATGTTTGCAGTGTGCAATCACTGACTGAACTATTTTCTCAGTGGAGGTCTGAGTTTTCAAATATTCCTTTCCTATTTCAAGATTGCTACCCTGTCTTTCTGAGACAGCTTTTCAAGCAACTATCTACATCTAATCTTATTTCCCACTTGTCCTTGGCCTAGAGCTTCTATTCTAATGGGCTAAAACCCAGTGATTCCTGCAGCACTCAGTCTGATGTTGTATTATTCTGCCAATCCATACCAAATCCATTCATCTTTACTTTCAAATCCCCTGTTCTCTATGAAGTACTTCCTGACTGCTAAAATGTCCTTTTCTTTGACTAGCTAAATGGTTTAGAACTATGACACAAGAACATACATTCACAGACTTATTTCATTGCCAGTATTCCACAATGCCTCCAGCAAAAGCCCTTTACAATTGAACAAATAATATAATTTAGAATTAAACAACACAGGAAATGAATTCCTGAGCTCACCTAGAAATTCTGACCGAAGAGGGACAGGGTGGTGGATTGTTGGAAATCCCTTAGGTAATTCTATGTGAAGATGTAACTGAGAACCATTCTGCTAGTATGATTCTTCTAAAGTGCTACATGGCATACATCACTCTCCTATACATAAAATTTCAGTGATACCTCAGTTTTCCACCTAAAAAAATGTAACCGCTGTGATTCTGAGCTACATCCTCAGTCTTTTTTTTTTTTGTTTGTTTTGGTATCGAGGATCGAACTCAGGACCTTGTTCTGGTGAGGCAGGTGCAGGCACCACTAAGCTAAATCTCCAGCCCAACATACTCAGCCTTTTTTGAGATAGGGTCTCACTAAATTCTAAATTGCCCATGTTAGTCTCAAACATGTGATCCTCTTGCCTCAGGCTATCAGAACACTGGAATTATAGGTATGTGACACTAGATCTGGCTCCAGTTTACCTTTTATGGGGGGGTACCAGGAATCGAACTCAAGACCTTGCACTTGCAAGGCAGGTGTGGTGCTACTAAGCTAAATCCCCAGCTCCAATTTACCTTTTTTGATTTATCTTTCATCTCTCCTATGTAAATAAATAAGCTCTGGTCAAACTATATCTTCTTGTCATTTTCTATACAGCTTTATTGTGCCTCCACGCTGTTCTTTGTATGGTGTGCCATCTTTTAGTAGTTTTAGGCATATCCATCCTATGCCACATAGCCTACATTTTTTTTTTAAAAAAATGCTATAGTTTAAAAAAAAAAGGAAATCTTGTTACCTAATTAACTATATTGTTTATTTTATATGTGAACAATATAATTCCTCTTTACTCAAAGCATCCCAGGTAAGCCAAAAGGTTGGATGCCTAAGTCAGGACCAGATTAAATTGGAGTCAGTCAGTCATTCACCCTAGTCTCATTAACAGTGTTATTTATTTATTTATTTTTGTTTGATTAATTAATTTTTTTGTGACAGGGTCTTGTTATGTAGTTCAGGCAGGCCTTGAACTCATGGCAATCCTCCTGCCTCAACCTCTTAGGTGCTGCGATTAGAGGCATATGTCATCACGTCTGGCCTAATATATTGTTTTTTTTTTTTTTTTTGT